TGATTTGACATTTAAATATGATTTCCCTACAACTTTAAAAACAATAGAGCAGAGAATTCCACTGATTTACTCGAACGCTGGGTTTCAAATTTAAACGGTTTTATTTTAACCAGATCAAAGCTTTTCTGCTTCATGATGTCTTTATGTGTCAGAATTAGACCTTTAATAAGATCCCAGCAACCAAACAGGAAACAAAGGGGAAAAAAATTATAAATTGATCTCAGATTATAAAAACAATTATCAGAGAATCTGTCAGCATTGATCTTTACCTGCTGGAAATTATAAAGGTGAAATAAGTTTATACTGCTAACTTTTTGCAGTTTTCTGGCATGTCTTACAAATAAGCGCCTTTAGTTCGCTGTCCTCGGCGTGAAATCCAAAATGCTGCCATATATGGCTAATCCTGTCAGGAGGAGGGGTTTATGATGCATTCAAAGGGTGTGGGAAAAATAAACCTCTATGGATGCAGACGGCTTAATGTCATGATGGATATTCTAACTCTATGTTTGCGATAGAGTATTTTTAGCTATTGATCGTGGGGAACTGTAGATACATGGAGGTTATTCGATGTTTCGCCTGGTCTAAGGCTCTGATTGGAAGGAAGAAGAGGAGCAGCGGAGTTTAAGGTTTTTAGAGCTGCACTGATGACCTGAAGGGAGGAGGTTACCAGCTTTGCTAACGGCTGTCTGCAGGGCAATGTTCCAGGGTATCCGGGTCAGATCCACGCCAACATCGGCCCTCTGAAGACCAACGTTTCCTTCAACCACAAGGCCTGCAGCGTGACTCTGCTGAAGAACGACCACGTGCTCATGAACCTGCTCATCAACAGCAAGAATAACAAGAGGCGAGCCGCCAACATCCGACCCAAGATCCCCTTCACCTTCGCCTACACCAAGGAGATCAGAGAGCTGGTAAACTCCGCCCCCTTTTCTAGAAGACCTGAAGGCTCCAGAGGGTCAGAGCTCCTGATCCGCCATGTTCTGTCTGCAGGGCACCATCACCTCGCTGGGAGACGAGGAGGGAGTCATCAGCTCAGCCGACCATGGAGACATTCCCTTTGACACCTGTGAGAACTTCAGCGACACAGAGTTCAACCCTGATGATGTGGGGAAAGAGGTGGAGTTCACAGTGATGGCGGTGAGTGTCGGAACCGGACCCAGCCGCTCCCATGATGCACCAGCACTGACCGTTTGCTTCCTGCAGGGGAAACCCGACAAGAGAGCCATCAGGCTGAGGAGGGTGAAGAGGAATAAGGTGGCCGAAGACAAAATCCTGCAGGAGCAGAAAAAACGGGAGGAGGAGGAAAAGAGGAATAAGGAGGAGGAGGAGAGGAGGAGGAAGGAGCAGGAAAAGGAGGAGAGGGAGGCAGAGAGGAAGAAGGTGGACGTGGCTGCAGCTCTGGCAGCCGCCAAAGAAAAGGTGAGGATGGGATGGTTTCCTACCAGCAGGTGGAGCTATACTCTCCTGCTCTGTAAGCCGTCTCCCTGCTCTGTAAAGCCGTCTCCCGCTCTGTAAAGCGTCTCCCTGCTCTGTAAGCCGTCTCCCTGCTCTGTAAAGCGTCTCCCTGCTCTGTAAAGCCGTCTCCCTGCTCTGTAAAGAGTCTCCCT